ACTGCAACAGGCTAATCATTGCATTGGCAGAAAACATTAACATTTTGTGAAGGCCGTCGTCACTTGTGGTGCATGGTCTGCAGCCGACACTTTCTCGCTTTTTGAGGGGGAGGGTATAAGGGAGCGATAGTGAGTGGGTAATGACGGTGGCCGAGTAGGGTTCCCTACTTACTCAAAAGTTTTTCGGTAGTAATCAAGGTAGGCGGGAATGGTGCTGCAAGTCGCGGTGAATGTTACGCTGGCAGTAAGATTATGGACTGGATCTTACGCTGGCCAAGTAAACCTTCAATTTATCTGGCTCCAACACCAGACTTGTTTGGGAGGATAAATCACTGGCTTGTAGATCGGCTTACGTATCACGCAGTTCGTCGTATAGCTTTCATCCAAACACTACTACAGCTTTGCATGGAATTAAGGTGCATGGCGTGGTATAAAAAAAGCCAGCCATATCGAAATTAGCTTCTCCTTTCATGTTACAGGGATTCCAGTCTTTTATGTACCATATTAACTAATTACCTCAGGGAATTTGTTATATTTCCAAATATGCTTCTCAGTTCGCATCAGGGCATCATGCTCGGCATACATCTGAAATTTTGCGCTGTTAATAATTGACGCAAGTATAAATGGTAAAAAGGTAGGGGACAAAGGCAAAGTTGATTCGGAGTTTATAATCTCCTTATTAGTTGCGCCACGCGTTCTACTTTCATTCGGAATCACACTGGCATTTGAATGCGATATGACCTATACAATGACTTGAGGAACCACCGATACACAAGTCAGTGTTTTTCTCCTCTCAGACAAGTCCACTACCAATTTCGTGACTCCAGCGGGATGCGAGACTTGGTTAACCCGTGCAGAATTTACTCCTGATTTTGGTCATCCCTACCTCGTTTACGCAATTCTCTATCCTTCTATGCCATAGCGGCATACAATGCAGATAGCTCGCCAGATATTGCCAGTGACATACTCATTCCATGTACTGATTATCAGCTAACCCGTCCAATCCTTCATGAACCAGGTTAGCAGTCAGTCTTTACCGAATTGATTTGACCCCTTCTACCCTCTAGGCGTTTTACGCGATCGTCTAATCATATAATCGTCTGCGTAGTCAACTATGAAC